ATAAGTTTTATGTAAGTTCGATCTTCCATCTATTGGATAGTCTTGTCAACAGTAAATGCATCTTACGAAAACTTTTGATGTGAAGTTCGTACTTTCAAAGTTAAGTCTTTGTCTGAATTACTAAATATATTACTTACTTAAATATTTTTAGATTTCTGCATGCTCCTGGCAGCTGTAATTTTCTTGTGATCGAGCCACTTGGAGTAATACAAAACAATACATTGTATATGCAAAACCAGCAAACAAGAAAAACCTGCATAAACAAGGCAAAGTATTGCAAGGTAATCCATAGTCCCCTGTCGGTAATGATTTCTATATCTAACAATTAGTACACTTATGTCAGGAAGCATAGGTCACAATGACCTATTTCTTGCACTCCACCATGCAAAGATGTCCTTGTACACCATATCTGGATACTCCAGGTGAAAAAGTATAGCCTATAAGCCCAGGACAAACATTTTTAAAAGCAAAGGTCAAAGCATAGGTCATAGTGACCCTCTTCTTGCATTGCACTCTACCATCCCAAGATGTCCTTGTACACCAAATTTGGTTGCTCTAGGTAGTATAGAAGATAAATGTCCCGAACATACTTCTTGGACGGACGAGTACAAACCTATAGTCCCCCCCCCCCCACAGGAAACTGGTGGGAGACTAATTATCAGCCACACAAAATGGCACCAAAGGGAACTTACATATGTAGTTTGAGAACGATTTGTCCAATACTTCTTGAGAAATAGCAACAACAAACTTAAACTGAAAGATGGCTACCTCCTTAGTTACATAAACAACTACAGACCAAGGAAAACCAATTAGATATGAAAATTGAAATGAAAAAAGATCTCCTATGTATGTCTTCAGAAAATAGCAATTTAAAACAAATATGCATGAACACTCAAAATTAAAGATTACTGACTGGTGGCACCCAGGTTTTTTTTCAGTCTCAAAATAAAACCTGTACAAATATAGACTATGTAGAACCTCTATATGAAATCTGAGTAAACTTTCTCAATGCTGTCTATTATCTTTGATGGACCACGTACAGACAACAGGTGATTTGAACATCTGACCATCCTATGATGGTTGGCTAAATGGATGGACGGACAACAGATACAATAGAGCATACTATAGACTATCAATGCTCCTGAAATACAGCTGATTACTTGTAGAAGTTTTTTACGATTGCGACAAGCATATAATTGAGTTGACCTTTGACCCCTTCCCATGATCTTGGCAGTATGGATATTGGTAGGTAAATATTCTAGATATTTGCAGTTTCAAATTTCAGAACATATTATGGCCCTATAGGTACACCTATATCCAACTGCACTTTGCAGAACTATATTTTGCTTACTGAACAGGATCAAAGTGACTTAAACCTCCAAATCATTCTGCGACATGTCCTTGGTAAAAAAGATACTGGAACACAAGGTTCAATCAACCACAATCGTGTTCCTGTAGCCTGTACATGCTGATGCATGCAGCTAAAGGGAAACAACTGTTGCCGTCATGAAACCAACAATGGAACAGACGGAAGGAGATTTTAGTATCCTAATAAGAAATTGATTTTAGAGGCATACTGTACCAAGAGCAGTAACTCTTGTATACACCCAATCATAGGCGTTTACATGGAACAGGGGGAGTAACTCCACACACGAAAATGTTCTTCCTAATACAATGACAATCTGGTTTAAATATTACTGTATTTCATATACTCATTTTACAACAGGATAAATACATATCCATCGTACCAATATGTATTGGCGTTTTTGGAGAGAAGCAAGTTAAGATCCACTTCATAAAATGGTACTGCAACTTCAGTTTCCTTTTCTCCAGATCAAATTAGATGCCTATTTATGTACTTCTGGAGAATAAAGTTCTGCAATTATTTCATTATATTGTAACATGAAAGTTAAAATGCAGTCAGACCTGTATTCGAATCTGGGATCCTCCAAAACTGTTGCTCTACCAATTGAGGTACATATAATGTACCTGGTCACCAGTGAATGATCCTGTCTAGTTCAATTACATTCCTCCTTCCTTCCACCCTATACCACCAGTAAAGGAACAGGAGAGGAAGATATGTAGTCAGACAGGGATTTGAACCCTCGGAACTTCCGACGGAACGCTCTACCAACCACGCCACCTGTTCGACGGCGAATGACCCTCTAGTTCCACTACAATATCATAATGTTGTTCAAGAGTTCCATTGCTTGTTAATTAAAACTTTCACACCGGACAAAATAATGCACTTCTTTTGTATTGGTTTGGAAGACAAAATAAAATCACTGGGACAACTCCACATAACCAGTTAGTATTTAATTCTAAATTACTATTTATTTTTGGAAAACTCTAGATCTTAACATGGCATTTCATCTTGGGGTTAGTCAAGGTTACTCCAAATTCACAGCAATGTGAAAATATAGCTAGATTTGGTTGTTAGAAAGGGACAAAAACCTGGCAAGTAGCAACATGTACTTCAAAGCGTGTTACTAAAAATCATTTTAACTATTTACTAGAATCATGGAATATATATATCTAGTGTCAAACACTTTAACATGAATTTGAAAACTAGACCATCAACAGATGCAAGTTATTCCTCCCCCCCCCCTCAATATGAGAATCTTTTCCCCCCTGGAACACCCACTATTAGGGCTTCAATGATAAGCATACCTCACGCTACAAATATCTGCTTTAAAGGTCAACTTCATAATGATAGAGTGCAGGGTTTTATTAAGTTTTGTCAGACTTCAATAGTAAATACTTGTACTATCAAAATGTATTTTTGTATCATTCCCAGTACTCTTGGGTATGATTGCACAGTTGACCATATCTTTACCGAAGGATTCAAGATATAATCAATACTTTTTGAAAGAGTTTGATAGATATAGATTGATAATTTTAGGACTAATATATAAAACAAGAGGCCCATGGGCCTCAACGGTCACCTGATATATTTATACAGAGTTGATTTTGTTTTTAACATGAACAGAAATATTATTCAAAGTGACAAAAAACAATAAAACCACCTTATTCAATATCTAGCATACAGATTTTAGACTAAAAAGTATTTGAAACTAGCACCTCTGATTCTAAACAAGGAAAATGAAGAAATTTTAGCACACTGACTCCTTTGAGCCCCACCCTACAGCCCTTGGGGGTTGGGCTGGCTCAAAATTTTCAAAGTATCAAACTGTCAACTCAAGGTTATAATTCCAATCAAGTTATTAACATGTAATATTCAAAGTATCATTTGCCATTATAAACCATAATAAATTTTGCCCCCCCCCCCCCCTCCCCAGGGGGTAAACGTGAGACCCTAGGGTCATAAACCTTAAGACCCTTCCATCTATGAAGAGTATTTGATTCTACCATATCTGGGTCTTGAGAAGAAGATTTTTGAAATTTCAGTAAATTCGACCCTTTTTGGCCCCACCCATCAGCCCCTGGGGGTCAGTCAGGGCTGATATGTGCTTACTATCAAACTGCTACCTAATACTGATAATGCTAACCCAAATTGAATTACTTCCAATGGAAATTAAACAAATGTTGGTCCAAAATGTGATTTCCCTATATAAACTATAGTAAAGTTTACCCCCTCCCCAGGGGGAAACGTGAGACCCCAGGGTCAAGAAATTCACAATTTCGGTAAAGCACCTTAAGACCCTTCCATCTATGAAGAGTATTTGATTCTACCATATCTGGGTCTTGAGAAGAAGATTTTTGAAATTTCAGTCAATTCAACCCTTTTTGGCCCCACCCATCAGCCCCTGGGGGTCAGTCAGGGCTCATAGGTGCATACTATCAAACTGCTACCTAATACTGATAATGCTAACCCAAATTGAATTACTTCCAATGGAAATTAAACAAATGTTGGTCCAAAATGTGATTTCCCTATATAAACTATAGTAAAGTTTACCCCCTCCCCAGGGGGAAACGTGAGACCCCAGGGTCAAGAAATTCACAATTTCGGTAAAGCACCTTAAGACCCTTCCATCTATGAAGAGTATTTGATTCTACCATATCTGGGTCTTGAGAAGAAGATTTTTGAAATTTCAGTCAATTCAACCCTTTTTGGCCCCACCCATCAGCCCCTGGGGGTCAGTCAGGGCTCATAGGTGCATACTATCAAACTGCTACCTAATACTGATAATGCTAACCCAAATTGAATTACTTCCAATGGAAATTAAACAAATGTTGGTCCAAAATGTGATTTCCCTATATAAACTATAGTAAAGTTTACCCCCTCCCCAGAGGGAAACATGAGACCCCAGGGTAAAGAAATTCACAATTTTGGTAAAGCACCTTAAGACCCTTCCATATATGAAGAGTATTTGATTCTCAATATCTGGGTCTTGAGAAGAGGATTTTTGAAATTTTAGTCAATTTGACCCTTTTTGGCCCCGCCCCTCAGGCCCCTGGGGCTTGGGACTAAACCGGCGACTATTTTGTTGACCTTTGTCCATGGAAGGTCCCTGCAAAATTTCATTGAAATTGGTTCAAAAGGTTTTGGAGAAGAGGATTTTTGAAATTTTAGTCAATTTGACCCTTTTTGGCCCCGCCCCTCATGCCCCTGGGGGCTTGTGACTAAACCAGCCACTATTTTTGTTGACATTTGTCCATGGAAGGTCCCTGCACAATTTCATTGAAATTGGTTCAGGGGTTTAGGAGAAGAAGTCGAAAATGTAAATGCACGACGGACAAAAGACGATCGCAATAGGTCACTCGAGACTTTGTCTCAGGTGACCTAAAAAATTGGTAGGGTCGACATTTTACTGGTATAGCAGCAAGACAATAATGTTAGGAAGCTTCATATGAATTTTGAGGACAGTCCACCTCGAGAAAAAGTGATGGCAATAACCGATCGAGGACAGATAAAATGTCTATTTGATAAGTCCACCCTCTGATGATAGTGGGCTAAAAATGACCAACGTGAATTATGAAACAGTCCTAAAAATCTCCATCACTGTTTTTCCTCTTCATAAAAAAGATTAACAACTTTCTCTTTCTTCTCAAAACTGCACTTTTATTCACTTTTCTGATGAATTGTTTGTTGCTTAGTTTATTTACTCTTTGACTTGAAGTATTCTGTCATCACATCTAGGGCCTGGGATTCTTTTCCATAATCCTGAAATGAAATAGTTGATGTAAGAAAACAATACTAAACAGATGAAATGATCTCAGTTCACTTTATTCTACTATAGGTCATAGTGATCGTGTAGCGATCTTCAGGTATCTACTTTAGGTCATACTGATCGTGGTGCTGTGTTCGGGTATCTACTATAGGTCATAGTGATCTTGGTGTTGTGTTCGGGTATCTACTATAGGTCATAGTGATCTTGGTGCTGTGTTCGGGTATCTACTATAGGTCATAGTGATCTTGGTGCTGTGTTCGGGTATCTACTGTAGGTCATAGTGATCTTGGTGCTGTGTTCTGGTATCTACTTTAGGTCATACTGATCGTGGTGCTGTGTTCGGGTATCTACTATAAGTCATAGTGATCTTGGTGCTGTGTTCGGGTATCTACTATAGGTCATAGTGATCTTGGTGTTGTGTTCGGGGATCTACTATAGGTCATACTGATCTTAGTGCTGTGTTCGGGTATCTACTATAGGTCATAGTGATCTTGGTGTTGTGTTCGGGGATCTACTATAGGTCATACTGATCTTGGTGTTGTGTTCGGGGATCTACTATAGGTCATAGTGATCTTGGTGTTGTGTTCGGGTATCTACTATAGGTCATACTGATCTTAGTGCTGTGTTTGGGGATCTACTATAGGTCATAGTGATCTTGGTGTTGTGTTCGGGTATCTACTATAGGTCATACTGATCTTAGTGCTGTGTTCGGGGATCTACTATAGGTCATAGTGATCTTGGTGCTGTGTTCGGGTATCTACTTGTTTATACTTATTAATTGAAGATGGAGTATTACCCATGTGACTACTTCCCTGCCACCGTACCTTGTATATCACAGTTTAAACACAGAAAAAGTCAGTAATATTCCTCCTCTAAACGGGCAACATCTTAATTTGGTTTAGATCTGATCTGATGCCTTGTGCAAGCAATACAAGCCAGAAATCAACATTTTCAACAAATTTCAATCTATTTACATCTACTCTTGATCTTGACCCTTGCCCAAGTATCTAAAATGTCCCTAGGGATCTTCCTCTTCCCAAAGAGATGTAGTCATCAAAATTTTGTTTAGATATGATGTATCGTTCAAAAGATAGCACCTGGAAATCAGCAATTTCCTAAAGTTTTAGTTAGCTTATAGCCACGCTACCTTTTACCTTTGACCTAGTGACCCAAAAATCAAAAGGCTTTTTTCTACCCTAGGGGCATAAATCACTCTAAATGGGCTTTCCTTTATCATCATGAAACTAATATTATTTTGTAAAATTTTAGGCTATTTATATGGCTAGCGACCTTGACCTTTGAACCCAAAACTCAATAGGGGACATCCTCTTTCCAATAAATATCGGGAAACTTTTAACAGCTGTGTTGACCTTGATTACGGACTATGTGACCCCAAAGTCAACATGATTCTTCTCCCCTTGGGATATACCACTTGTATAGGATTGATTGTTATAATACTGAAACCATTCTTTCAGACACACAAGGCCGACAAGAAGATGACTAATCGGATCCCTATTTCCCCCTAAAAAAACTTATTCTTACAATGAAACCCTCAAATCTCAACTGGCTTTATCCAAACTATCAGCGTCTCACAAAACCTGTCCAGTAATCATACTTATCACCGTTAGAGAACGGAGAAGCTAACAGTTTTCATATTTGGAGAACAGAGAAGCTAACAGGTAAGTAGTTACCGTGACTACAACACAGCTGCAGCCAACCACCTTTCTGGCTTTTCCTTCCTTGTCGATCTTGCAGAGCCCAGCCCACTCTCCAAGTTTCTTGTTATCATCAACCTGCCAAACAAAAAGATCAAATATGATTTTGACATAGGGAAACTATGCACATGTACATCATACTATGTTTAATGTGGAGTCCTGTTCATTTTGTTTTAAATACACAAGACCTCTTCTCAACCCATTGTTTAAGGGTCTGTAGTATAATGGGGCATGTCCTCTTACACTTGGAAGAAGCCAAGTGGGCACTGAATATAATGTCCAGCATTAATATTGACAGCCCCTGGATTTATTTCCTTGCATAAATTGCACATGTATACAACTTACTTATTTCAACAACATTTCTCTTAGTCAGATGGATTATATATATTAATTGAATCAAAACCTTTATCCCAACAGTACACTTTTTCAAGCTATGAAGTCTTATTGAAAGTAACAAGCTCTCAGCTGAAATGCCATCCTCAGGTAACCTACAGGTTATGCATATCCTCATATCTCTCAGAAGAGGGAGCATTGGTTATCATCACATGACAATACAGCAACTAAGAGTTTCTCTTTACCTTCAAGACAGGTTTACCAAATTGACAATAAAATTTACCTTGACCAGCAAACAAGATTTCATTTTGTTTTACTTATGGTTAGACAGGGAAAATGCCATCCCAAAAAGACTTAGTGGGGAATATTTTGACCTTCAAAGCTAAAGCTTAAAGTCCGTGTTATTTTCTTCAAAACATGCACTAAGGTATAAAATCTCTTCCGTCTTATGGCCATCTTCAGGTAACCAAACGGTTATGCATATCCTCATAACTCTCGGAAGAGGGAGCATTGGTTATCATCACACGACGGCAACGCATGGACTTGAACATTAGTGATGGGCGATCAGTTAAAACTGTTACATCAAAAGACAGAGTTTTGAAATATAACTCTGGTTTCGTTCTTTTTTAATTAATAGATTTCAAGCAATTTTTATGCAGTTTAACCAATCATATAGTAAAAATGATAAGCATAAGTCACTTTAAATGCATACTCGACATTTTATACATTTGACACTTTGATTTCAAAAATGAACCGATTATATTGATTATGGAATTGGTAATCGATAATCGGAATGGGCAAACTGTTCGATTTTTTGGCTATAATCAAACATCAGCCCATCACTATTAAACGTTATTGTCCTTTATGTGAATATAAATTTAAATCATTAAACGTGCATTCATACATAAAATGGACCAAAAGACGGGATTTCTGATCAGGATAGCCTTTACCATGTATACAAAATTTCGGGAATCTAGAAGTTAGAATATTATACATGTACAGCATTGATCCAACAGCAGTGAAAAAATATTAAATACTTGAATATTGCATCGATCAACTAGTTTTCTAGTACTCTTCTAAGTTCTATCTTATAGCCATCTTCAGGTAACCTACAGGTTATGCATATCCTCATATCTCTCAGAAGAGGGAGCATTGGTTATCATCACAAACAGCTTGAAATTTAGTAAGTTGTCTATCTAATTAGTGCAATTTGTCAAGTAGTTTTCAAAACAGTGCCTAAACCAAGCTTTAAATATTTATTCTTCTTAAATATAGTAATAAAATAATAAATGACTTAATAATTGGAGTGTACTTTTTCCATCAATGGAAACTTGATGCACTTGAAATAACAAGAGCAAAATGGTATTAAATCCACACCAATTTAAATTCCTGAATATTTTTTTTAGATTTTAAAATATCATCTTTGCCATCTTCAGGTAACCAAACGGTTATGCATATCCTCATAACACTCAGAAGAGGGAGCATTGTTTATCATCACATGACGGCAGTGTATGGACTTAAACATTAGTGATGGGCAATGCAATCAGTTTAAAATCATTATCAACTTATGACTTTCAATGCATACTTTTCAGTGTATACATTTGACACTTTGATTTCAATAATGAACTGTTTATATTGATTATGGAACTTGTAATCGATAATTGGAAAGGGCAAATTGATCTCTTATTTTTATTTTTTATTCAAATTGATAATCAGTTATCACTATTGCATATTTATCTTTAATTTTAATCATAACATGCAGTCATACATAACTAAACAAAAAGGCGCAATATCTGATCAGGATAGCCTTCATCGTGTATAAAATTCCCTTTTTTGGACATCTAGAATATTAAACATATAGTGTTGATCCAACAAGGGGTGGAAATTCTTGAATATTGCAAGAATCAATCAGTTTTCTGTTAAAAATAAATCACTTTCATCTTATAGCCATCTTCAGGTAACCTACAGGTTATGCATATCCTCATATCTCTCAGAAGAGGGAGCATTGGTTATCATCACAAACAGTGTTGGCTTGAAATTTAGCAATTTGTCTATTTAATTAGTGCAATTTGTCAAGTAGTTTTTCAAAATAATGCCTAAACCAAGCTTTAAATATTTATTTTTAATAAAAAATAAAATAATATTGGACTTAATAATTGGAGTGTACTTTTTCCATCAATGGAAACTTGATGCACTTGAAATAAACAAAAGTGCAAAATGGTATTAAATCCAAACCAATTTAAATTCATGAATATTTTTTTTTAGATTTTAAAATATCATCTTTGCCATCTTCAGGTAACCAAACGGTTATGCATATCCTCATAACACTCGGAAGAGGGAGCATTGTTTATCATCACATGACGGCAGCGTATGGACTTGAACATTAGTGATGGGCAATCAGTTTAAAATCATAATCAACTTATAATTGATGGGACTGAATACCATTACAATGTGGAAACACTACTGTTACATTAATACAGAGTTGTAAATCAGATTTCGTTTTTTATAATGAATAGATTTCAAGCAACTGCAGTTTAATCAATCATATAATAAAAATCATAAGAAGAAAAGACTTTCAATGCATACTTTTCAGTGTATACATTTGACACTTTGATTTCAATAATGAACTGTTTATATTGATTATGGAACTTGTAATCGATAATTGGAAAGGGCAAATTGATATTTTGTTTTTATTTTTTATTCAAATTGATAATCAGTTATCACTATTGCATATTATTCTTAAATTTTAATCAAAAATTTAAACAGAACATGCAGTCATACATAACTAAACAAAAAGGTGGAATATCTGATCAGAATAGCCTTAATCGTGTGTAAAATTCCCTTTTTGGACATCTAGAATATTCAACATATAGTGTTGATCCAACAAGGGGTGGAAATTCTTGAATTTTGCAAGAATCAAAGTTTTCTGTTAAAAATAAATCTCTTTCATCTTATAGCCATCTTCAGGTAACCTACAGGTTATGCATATCCTCATATCTCTCAGAAGAGGGAGCATTGGTTATCATCACAAACAGTGTTGGCTTGAAATTTAGCAATTTGTCTATTTAATAAGTGCAATTTGTCATGTAGTTTTTTCAAAATAGTGCCTAAACCAAGCTTTAAATATTTATTCTTCTTAAATATGGCAATAAAATAATAAATGACTTAATAATTGGAGTGTACTTTTTCCATCAATGGAAACTTGATGCACTTGAAATAACAAGAGCAAAATGGTATTAAATCCACACCAATTTAAATTCGTGAATATTTTTTTTAGATTTTAAAATATCATCTTTGCCATCTTCAGGTAACCAAACGGTTATGCATATCCTCATAGCACTCGGAAGAGGGAGCATTGTTTATCATCACATGACGGCAGCGTATGGACTTGAACATTAGTGAAGGGCAATCAGTTTAAAATCATAATCATAATTTTATTGCACTGAATATCATCAGTTGACCAATTTTAAATCAACCTCTTCCACTTTCAACGTCATCTTCAGTAAATGCATATACCATACTGATAACTTGCGGAGGGGCATTGATCCTCACCATTCAACAGCGATAGTTGGAAGTTCGCTTTTTATATTTTCCATTTTTTTTGGTTCAATTTGTTTTGTTTATACTAGTAATTCTGGACTAAAGCAACCATTCAAGTGTCTGCTTCAAAGCTAGAGATGGTTGATTAATCAAGTTTGAGCGATATTTAACAGAACGAAATATGACTGATCAATCCTGTATTCAGACAACCGACCATTATTCACACATACGCATTTCACAGTAGTTTGAATGTTTGAGAACAGATAAGGCGAGTGGTTCAACAACGGTTCAGTGACAAGTATGTCTGTAAACAACCAACACTAAATGCTAACATACCATTTGTCATATTTACTTTTTTACTAATTTCTCTTACATTGCCGTTCAACACAACTTCAGGGACAAGAAGTAGTATCAATGTACTGTATTAAATAATACTGGGTGTTTAAAAACTTGCCAAGAATGTGTCACCTGACAATAGCATTTGATATGCAAAAGATGAACGATGACTCCACTGGTCCTCTTCAGAGAATACTCAGTATTGTATCGTAAGCATCATACTAGGATACATATTGCATCAATTTAATCGCGAGGTTTGTTAATTTTGCCATCTTCAGGTAACCTACAGGTTATGCATATCCTCATATCTCTCAGAAGAGGGAGCATTGGTTATCATCACATGACAGCATTATCATTTTCACATAGAATTAATCTCTTCCATCTCTCATCATTTAAGCTAATGGGCACTTATAATAACATCAAGCTTTAAGACAACACAATACTTTCGGTGCATTCTTAAAGCTTGCATCAAGTCGCTCTTTTATCAAATTTCTCTTCATTAGCAAAGTCAAATCGTACAATGAGAAGAAATAAACACCACTCTTAGATCCATTCTTTATATCTGATTTTTGGGATAAAAGCTGATTTCCAACTCATGAGAATTGATTATATTTGTTTATATAATCTTCTCACTGAAGCTATCAACTAACCCAATAATTGGATATGAATCTTAATTAAATATTATTGTACTACTTATTTGAAAACTTGTTAGTTGTATAGGTGAAATATTTCATATTGAGACAGCAAAGACCACTATTTTGTACAGCATTTTGTTATTTATATTGAAGCTTAAGCTAAACTAAAGAGTTAAGCAACCAACTTGACCGTCAATGAATTTGATCATCCAGACTTACACACCTTCATGAGGTTAATTCCATGTTCTGCACAAAGGGCTTCCACGAGTTTGACGTACGTCGCTTCATCACAGTTGTTGGCTAAAACGCACATATGAGCCTGACGTCTGGAATGAAGAGAAGTTGAACCGGAAACATTGAAGTTATAATTTAACTCATCCAAACAAAATAATGATTGCAACCGCTGTTCCAGTTGGAGTTTTACTAGAGTGGTAGTTCGAAAGGGCAATCTAATTTTACAAAATGCATAAAATCAAGTTATCAATTATTATATAAACTGCAGACATTTGTCACCTTTTAACAACTTTAGGACTTAAGAAAAGAAGGACTTGTATGTGAAATTCATAGCATCCGACACTTTCATGGACATAAAATGTGTATAATGCCATGTTAATTATGATTTCTAAAATCCATTAACCGTGTCAATTATGTTAATATTATTGCAAATCATTGTGAAACTATGCAAGAAGCATATGCCTACTTGTCCAAGGCTTTGGCACACTCGTGAAGACCTCTGGACAGACCATCATGGATAAGTGCAGTTTTGAGAACCTCCTGCAGGGCAGTGTAGATGTCCATGGATCCTCCTGCTGCTGCAGATGGTACATCATCTCTGTTGATCAGGAAAGATATATCGTGTTCAAAATGTGTTAATATAATATTGGATTGTCTTGTGCTCATCAGGTCCAGTACACTCTGCCGATTGAGCTGTAAAAACATATAATAGATGTATTGACCTATCGGAAATAGGTCTTTTGAGCTTTTTCCATGCGATTTCTTTTTTAAGGAAAAACAAAACAAAGTCGCTGTTAAAATACGATTTTATCATTAGGTTGATAAAAGACATTAAATGAAAATAAACATCTGTATGTTTTTTAGTCAACATGACCATAAACCTTATTGTTTAATGAGACTTTGCTTTAATTCAATGAAAATTGAAATCTAAGAAAATATAGCTGAATACAGCTATAATCTATAGGTGAATATAGCTATATAGCTCAATCGGCAGAGTGTACTGGACCTGCTTATTCCAATTCACAGTATCTTAAGGCTGGATGCTCCCATGAAGTTTTGGCATGTAATTAGTCGTCCTTTAATTCTATCAGTTATAACCACGAAAATATACACTTACTTGTTTGGGGGGGGGGGGGCAATTTCATATTTAAAAAGCAAGTCCCCAGGCAGATTAAAAAATATAATCCAACAGCACCACCTAAATTTTCGTAGAAAATATTGAACATTTTCATAATATTCATAACGCCGACACCCAATATACAACACAGGAATATTTTAAAGAGTTAGCTAGGATGGGTCACGAAACTCGTACACATTATTGGCCAGCATTTCACGACCGCTGCGTTGTTCTTTCAATTATTTTAATGTAATCAAAATGTTCAACCTGTACAGTTACTAGAAGCAACAACAGGACAGAAACTAAAGAGATTATATATACAACCCATGACGAATCGACAAGCTCCCATTTGTAACACACGTGAAAAACTGCTCATTACCCTTCCGTATCTGATGCCATTTTTGCAAATACGGACGTCCTTCTGAAAAAATAATTACATAAACAAATTAAGCAAGACGAATCTATTTCATATTCAAATAAACAATAGTTTATAATGCTTATTAAGGCAGATGATATACGATTTTTAAGTTAAACATGGGACATTTCTTACAATGATGTCTACCGGAAATGTCTTTAGTTGAAAAGGAGGCTCTGAGGTTATTTCCGGTATAAATGAACAGGAGGTCAAGTTACTCCTGAAGTGCGAACGTAGTTTTGTGTATGGATTTACCGTGATTCCAACCGCATGAAACAGTTCTGTTTATCCAAATAATGTTGGAAGTAAGTTTGTCAATTTTCTCTTACAGCATCACAATTGTTTACTTCCAAATGCACAGTCAGAGCCCGAGAGCACTGGGTTTGAGGTGTCGAGTGAGAGGCATGTTCATGATGTTGATGTTGTTCAGCATCCCATGCGTGTTAAAAAATAGAATAATTCTAACATGCTCAGTACATAAACATAAAATTCAACAGAATACATATAATTTGCCAAAGATGTTGCTGTATGATTGCCGTGATTGTTTGTGTACTTTCCGGAACGAATGTCACCGCATACCGGTTTGTGTCGGATGCCATATATTTTGACATGGTCAAAAGTTGTGATTGATTGCAAATATGAAATGTTGAACAGGCATGAAAAATGTACAAAACAAGAATAGAAAACTTTTGCATTCGGATGCTTTAAATGTTGCAGTATGTAATCTATAGATATAGTAGATTTAAAATAATTCTAAAATAAATGAGAATAATGATGGAATAAATTGCTACATTAATTTCCACAATATAAATACAGAAGCTGATTTTTTTGAAGTTTTTGTTACAGAAATATATATATATACAAGCCCAATTTCATTGATTTAGGCACTGTATGTAGTAATTTCATATAGCAATACATACATCTTTGCATAACAAAGCTTTAAATCCAGCATTTATACACATTACTTTACCATATAGGTAGTTTATTACATGATTATATAAAAATAATGTTGTTTGTATACCATTTACCTTGCTCCCATTTAAATTGCCATACAGATTTTAAATGTCCTTTGCTTGTGTAATTAACTTATACTGAGACATATAATTATGTCTGTGGTTTGATTGCAATGATGTTTTTAATGCAACCCACAATATTCATCACTGTACCATAATTCAATCATTGATTTGATTGCAAAACCTATCAACATAATCAGCCAGGACTTCATGTTTGTGCACCACTCCCTGGGCGTTTCCATTCCTATTCTGGAACAACTTAAAGGTGAAGAGTCGACAGTAATTCGCCAGCTCTTGTCCTTCCCTCCTTAGTGATTTTTGGGACACAGATATTGAGTCCTAGACTCCTGCCTTCCCTGTTAATGTTGAACCAACATTTTGAGATTTATGGAAATTCAGAAAAAAATATAGGGGGCTCACTTGAACAAATTCTACGTTTTTCCACCAAAGGCAGCTAAAATAATTATAACTTCTCTTCTGTTAATGCCAGTTTCTTCTCTTTATGTCAATTGCCGCAAATATACTCCACATGGATTATGCTAGGAAATCCCTTCACCCTATCTTGACTCGGAAACCTCTTTAAACTTGAGCTCCCTTTAGCTCCCTTTGCCGTTATAATTACTTTGTTACTTGTGCTCATAAGCCTCCTCACGTCATTTCCTCCAGGAAAAGGTCAGTTCCTAGTCCTACATGATCTTTCTTTTCCGTTATTTTGACCCAAAGTAGAAAGTCCAGGTTTGATTGGTTTGGATGATCTCTTGGAGGAGTTAGACCTGCAGTCTTTGTCCCAAATCCACCTCCATCTCCCAACTCGGCACTCCATCCAAGTGTCCCTCAATGCCTCCGATAGGATCGAGTCAACCCTGGGACATTTCAGGTTTATTCGTTTTACGAGTCTGTATAGGAAGCAACCAGTATTTTGTACCAGGGTGACCATTGCATGGGCTACTTTCCAGCTTTTTTTAATATTTTGGACAGGAAAAACAAAGTCCTTGCAGCTTCACTGGCAGGAACAATGGGATTAAGCAAATGCAAGAACTGCAAGTGCAGGTGTCTTTCCGAGTGCTGCAGCTTCATGTATGGTCAGACGTTGACCTAGTTTGGTTCAGATGATTGCATGGAGCATGCCAACAGCCCTTTCAGTTTCACTCTGAATCTGTGACAGCCGTAGCATTACGAAAATGTGCATTGGTGTTACTTTTTCTGTCCTCATGGGTGATAGAAGAATTACGTTTTTGATCAATCACTCGTGAAATTTGAAAATTATTCGTGAAAACACATGAGGACCTCTTATTGGGCCACCATAGACTTTCATGCATGACTGATTTTATAAATGAATAGGGACGTCCCATGGTATGTATTCCACCATTACTCTCAAATGCACATATCGTATTGTTATTATAGCCATACCAACATGTCATCAGCTCTATTGCAATGACACAAAGCTCTATACACAAACAAATACACAGCATAGAGAGGCACATGTGCAGAGATGCAATACATACATGATTATGGGGATGTCCCAGGGGTTTGCTTCCCGATATATTGTGACCTAGCAAAGAGGATTAATATTAAAAATGAATGTTGAATTATTGACACGCAGTTGCTGTAAAGTGTACGTGTCATGCAGAAAAGTTGTTGTCAGGAAGTGGAAATTAATTGAAAAATGTATTGATTAAGTATTAAAGTGTTAAGTGATGCTATGCAGACATCCCCTCATAGAGCAGGGTGATTAATATAAAATGATACTTAAGTATTGTCACATTCTGATGACCTTGCTGATTTTTCGCCCATAAGGGAAAAAATGATGCAGAGTAGCAGCAGACTAAATACTTTTGTTGTGCTGTAATATATATATGATCACATTAAAACTATGTAACATTTTGGTTTTGTTTGTCAATAATTAATGCGACAACTTGATTTTATTGTCTATGGGAATTTCCTGTTGTCTTACAGATACCACACCGAGGTCTGAGTAGCGACAAGTTATGTTCTGTACATTTGTGCTGTGACGGCCAATACTTGTAAACTGATGACGGACAAAATTGAAGTATTTACATGGATGAGAGGACTTATAAAGGTATGTGAAGTGTCATCAGTTGTTTGTTTGTGTCATCAGTTGTTTGTTTGTGTCATCAGTTGTTTTGATGTAAACACATTTTAATAATGTTACGTAACATATTAAAATTAATTGCCATCAATTAACACGATTGGACTTTCTGTAGAATTGCACAATTTGGCGTCTGAAAAAAAAATCAAAAAATCTATGAACAATACATACAATAGGACACACAATTATGAATCAACACACAAGTTCAATATAACAAAAGCATTTCTCCAAAAGTCTCAAGTTCATGTATATCTATGTGATAACATGCTCCAAACTACTTGTCTTGTGCATTAGTTTTGTAATTATATATAAGTATACATACTTTACTGGCAGAATGTACAAACAGAGATCCTGTCTAAATATATATATGTATGCATGTGTCAGAATTGTGCTGGTTCATGTAAAGACAGAGCACATTTTGTATTTATGGCCACATTAACCTCATAATTGACGTTGACTACTGCCATAATTCTCTTGTGGTAAATTGTGAAGGATATAGCCCATAAAAGATGACTAAATTGTACATGTAGAAATAAGTTATGCTGTAGTTACTAGTTATGCTGTATATAGATCTAGATATGCAGTATTAGTGTATTTCCAGATATTTGTCATATTAACCAACCGCCATTCTTAATTGACTTAAAATTGGATTTTTTTTTTAATTTTTCTTATTCCAAGAAGATTTCCCAAAGATGAAAATAATTTTTTTTTCGCTCAGTCTGTTGACACTCGCATCAAATTCTTTCCTACAAAAATGTATTACTTGAATGACTTTTAAAATAGTCATCATTTTATTGCTTGAAGATTAATGGATATTATAATATACTTGATTCTTCTACACATTTTTGGAGGTAAATGGATAAAAAGTGGTGCCCCATGCATGCACAGCATGTATGAGTGATCAAAACTATTCCCAAATGTTTGCCTGAAATCACAGGAAATGAAACATAATTTATTAACAAAAAATAGAAATCTTTTGAAGTTTCTATAGCGTCAATGTAAATACTACCTTTTTACTACGTAAATAATCTTTTCATGTACATGTTCATATAATTTTGACAAATTCTGTGAAATAAATTCAACAGATTATATATATATGTATTATAAAATGCAATTACTAGTAGGTATTTGCAAAGCTGTACAAAAATTTATGGCATTTTCATATATAAATTATTTATGAAAATTAAACATTATACAAATTGATGGCACTTATTTTAAGCATTACTAGGGAGAAAAGCAACATTAAGATTAGAAAAAAATGTGTTTCTCCTCTCATTGGTTAAAAATGATTTTTTTTTTTACAAAACTTACAGATTCATCATTTTAATACTATCCTGAAATGTGTTAAACTGTAACTAATGTATGTAGGAAAAAGAATGCTAGAATGTTTGGTACAATGTATCTGCGGTTGTTTGGCTGAAGAAGAAACGGCTGTGGCTGAGAGGTGCTAGGATCGAGGGAACAAGATGGAGGACAGGTGTGAGCTTCGAGGTAACCGGGTAAGTGTACTACACTAGTAAATACCATGTATTAACATGGAGTAATTTTTTAATGAATCAATTTGTATTTCAGAACTTATACCTTTGTGTTGGAATTTAAAGTACCACAGTAGTTGAAATGTTTATTAGCTCATTTGCCCAAAAGGCAAGGCAAGTCCACCGTCAAAATTGTTTAAACAACTTCTTCTGAATAACCAAATGGCCTAAGATGATTGTATTTGCCAAATACAATACCATAAACTATTAGGTCATTAGCACGCTAAGATGAATGGCAATCAAGTATATTCAAATGAATGACATTGACCAACGTTCAATGTCACAGGGGTCATATAGCTTTGAACAACTTCTTTGGAATAACTAGAATGTATAAGGTCGTATAACAAGCATGCAGGAATTAAGGTTGTCATCTTTGGGGGAAAACATTTGAACTTTACTTTGATAGTCACAGGTGAGACATGTAGATTTTGCCAGCAGCATTAAATAACAGGTTTTGATGCAGGCCCATCAAGCCTCTTGTTTTATTTTATTTTTTTCTACATGTGTGCGTGTATGGTTATATTAGATGATCTGTATTGAGAAATAAAAGCTTTTTTACATTTCTTTTTGAAAAAAGGATACCAGTATTTTGCGGGTATTATTATATCGGAATACCTGGTTATTTATAACTATAGCTGTTTTGTTAAAGTGGTTTAGACCTGGAAAACTCTTCAAGCTGCCATACTACCTATAACTACTCTAAGATCATCAGGGTATTGGAGATATATCTTATCACAAGTCTGTAAGAGAGATGGATATCAATACTCCTCTACCTCTGACATTTGTGTAAATATTACATGTTTATTTGTATTTAACATATAGACCTTGGGGTCTTTGCTAACAAAGCTGTGACAGATTATAAAGTATGTTAATGCATTCCTGTGTTGCAATTCTCTGTCAGAGCGTTGAAGTTTTGTTCCGGTGAAATAAACTGCAGCTGTGACATGTGTATGTGTGAGTGTCTGACCTCTTTATGTCTTACATCTGTCAATACAGAGGCAATACTGCAGGGTAACAGAGAATACATGTTAGTGTTAACACTTCAGGGTTACAGATAATACATGTTAGGGTTAACACTTCAGGGTAACAGGAAATACATGTTAGTGTTAACACTTCAGGGTTACAGATAATACATGTTAGGGTTAACACTTCAGGGTAACAGGAAATACATGTTAGTGTTAACACTTCAGGGTTACAGATAATACATGTTAGGGTTAACACTTCAGGGTTACAGATAATACATGTTAGGGTTAACACTTCAGGGTTACAGATAATACATGTTAGGGTTAACACTTCAGGGTTACAGATAATACATGTTAGGGTTAACACTTCAGGGTTACAGATAATACATGTTAGGGTTAACACTTCAGGGTTACAGATAATACATGTTAGGGTTAACACTTCAGGGTTACAGATAATACATGTTAGGGTTAACACTTCAGGGTTACAGATAATACATGTTAGGGTTAACACTTCAGGGTTACAGATAATACATGTTAGGGTTAACACTTCAGGGTAACAGGAAATACATGTTAGTGTTAACACTATAGGGTTACAGATAATGCATGTTAGGGTTAACACTTCAGGGTAACAGGAAATACATGTTAGTGTTAACACTACAGGGTTACAGATAATGCATGTTAGGGTTAACAATTCAGGGTAACAGGAAATACATGTTAGTGTTAACACTAGAGGGTTACAGATAATACATGTTAGTGTTAACACTACAGGGTTACAGGGAATACATGTTAGGGTCAACACTTCAGGGTTACAGAGACTACATGTTAGGGTCAACACTTCAGGGTTACAGATAATACATGTTAGTGTTAACACTATAGGGTTACAGGGAATACATGTCAGGGTTCACACTTCAGGGTTACAATACATGTTAGTGTTAACACTATAGGGTTACAGATAATACATGTTAGGGTTCACCCTTCAGGGTTACAGATATTACATGTTAGGGTTCACACTTCAGGGTTACAGATAATGCATGTTAGCGTTCACACTTCAAGGTTACAGATAATACATGTTAGGGTTCACACTTCAGGGTTACAGATATTACATGTTAGGGTTCACACTTCAGGGTTACAGGGAATACATGTGAGGGTTCACACTTCAGGGTTACAGGGAATACATGTTAGGGTTAACACTTCAGGGTTACAGGGAATGCTTGTTAAGGTTCACACTTCAGGGTTACAGATAATACATGTTAGGGTTCACACTTTAATGTTACAGATAATGCATGTTAGGGTTAACACTTCATGGTTACAGAGAATACATGTTAGGGTTAACACTTCATGGTAACAGAGAATACATGTTAGGGTTAACACTTCAGGGTAACAGAGAATACATGTTAGGGTAACACTTCAGGGTTACAGATAATACATGTTAGGGTTCATACTTCAGGGTTACAGGGAATACATGTTAGGGTTAACACTTCAGGGTAACAGAGAATACATGTTAGGGTAACACTTCAGGGTTACAGATAATACATGTTAGGGTTAACACTTCAGGGTTACAGGGAATGCTTGTTAAGGTCAACACTTCAGGGTTACAGAGAATACATGTTCGGGTTCACACTTCAAGGTTACAGATAATACATGTTAGGGTTCACAATTCAGGGTTACAGATAATGCATGTTATTGTTAACACTACAGGGTTACAATACATGTTAGGATTCACACTACAGGGTTACTATACATGTTAGGGTTCACACTTCAGGGTTACAGATAATGCATGTTATTGTTAACACTACAGGGTTACAATACATGTTAGGGTTCACACTACAGGGTTACTATACATGTTAGGGTTCACACTTCAGGGTTACAATACATGTTAGGGTTAACACTTCAGGGTTACAGATAATACATGTTAGGGTTCACACTTCAGGGTTACAGAGAATACATGTTAGGGTTCACACTTCAGGGTTACAATACATGTTAGTGTTAACACTTCAGGGTTACATATACTACATGTTAAGGTTCATACTTCAGGGTTACAGAGAATACATGTTAGGGTTAATACTTCAGGGTTACAGAAAATACATGTTAGGGTTAACACTTCAGGGTTACAGATAATACATGTTAGGGTTCACACTTCAGGGCTACAGATAATACATGTTAGGGTTCACACTTCAGGGTTACAGATAATACATGTTAGGGTTCACACTTTAATGTTACAGATAATGCATGTTAGGGTTAACACTTCATGGTTACAGAGAATACATGTTAGGGTTAACACTTCATGGTAACAGAGAATACATGTTAGGGTTAACACTTCAGGATGACAGATAATACATGTTAGGGTTCACACTTCAGGGGTACAGAGAATACATGTTAGTGTTAACACTACAGGGTTACAGAGAATACATGTTAGGGTTAAAACTACAGGGTTACAGATAATACATGTTAGTGTTAACACTTCAGGGTTACA